CTATAGGGTGCATACACACACCAGATAGTGATAAATCACCCCCCTGGGGGAATGGCCATGCCGCAATCCCTTCTCTTCTACTCTTCTATTCTCTTTTCGGGATCTTGGGCATACACACACAGTGTGAATTTAAGCCACCAGGTCTGGGACTTGAAACAGTCAACTACACAAGAGTCCAGTGACATAGCCTTTACACCAACTGCTGGTCCTGGTTCTAACTGGCTTTAATGTCACACTGAATTATTTTCTCAATTCGTCCTCAAGATACTATTGAATTCTGTAATACTCTTAAATCATTACTTACAATAAGGGCCAACAGATAGTGCGGTTACATCAGTGGACCCCCACACGGCCAACTGCAGTTCAAGTGCCATAACTGGTGGTTTGAAACTCATGACACGCTTGCCCAGGATCCCAGCAGAATGGAGAAGAGATTGGGGTGCCTGCCCCCACCACTGGCTTGTAAAACATGCCAGGTGTGGGACCAGCAGTTAGTGTAATGGCTGTCACTAGGCTCCCATGTAGTTTACCACGGTTTGCGTCCCGGAATTCGGTGGCTTTAACTCACGCTGGGCACTGTGTGTGTGCCCAAGAAAGCAAGAGGAGAATGGAGAAGGGATTGCGGCCTGGCCATCCCCCCTGGGGGGGGTGACTTCTCACTGTCTTTCAGGCGAGCACACGCACCCTACAACAAAAACCTCTTAAAAAAAAAAAAAAAAAGCCAGGTGTGTGTATATCCCAAATCCCCAATAGTATGGAGAAGGGATTGTGGTGTGACCACACTCCCTCCCAGGAGTTAATTTCTCAATCCCTCTGGCCAGTGTAACAAACCCTATACCTGGTGATCCAAGGAGATCAAGTCTATAAATGGGGAATGAATCATTGCTTTAAGTGATGAAATTTTGGTTTTAGCTGAGGGAGGATGAACATCAATGATACTAAGTTCACAGGAGTGAAAAAGTGTAGAGAAATGAAGGCCTATGCCCAAACCCAAAGTAAAAGCATGAATTTTCCCATGTTACACCCTATTAAAAGTATTAAGTGGAAGGAAAATTTTTCCAACAGGATTTTACAATTCCTAAAATCTAAGTATTTCTGAATAACTTCTCCAATGAATTAGACAAATGAGATATCCCTATTTTACTATAAATAGCAAAAATGGTGACTAAATAGGGTATGCACGTTGTATAAAGTGGCAGAATTTAACATTTAAAGCAATGTCTCCCATTACCGTATCAATATGGGTTTGGCTAAACATTTTGAAACTTACCCAGTCCTCTATTTTTGTAAATTAGTACCTGCCCACTAGTACACTAGATCCTCAATCATAGCTATGTATCAGAATCAACCACACCACCTTTTATGAAGACATGTAGCACTCCATATCATCCAAATCAGGATTTCAGGGGACTGCAGCCAAAGTGAATGCACTGCCATACGTACAACAAAACCTCATACGTCCATTGATACTATACCACTTACTCAACTAGAAGTCAAGAGTAACCTGACTCAATGGCATCTAGGAAATCTTTATAGTCTTCAAATCAATAGGCACTCTGAATGAAAGTCAACAAAGGGTAACAGATGATAATCAATTTATTAAAATAGTTGACTTAGGCATCTGCAATGGTGACTTCAACCTCAACTCCTGGTTCGATACTGATGGAAGTAATCTGTTTAACAATCTCAGAAGGACTGTGAAAATCAATGAGTCACTTGTGGATTCTCATCTGAAAATGACCCTAAGTCTTAGAACCTTCACCACAAGGTGTTTTTCTTGTAGTGATTCTCAATGTCTGCAACAAAAGACAAAGGAAACCTTATAGTTTTATGCTTGTCCTGAGTGCATGTGAAAAATCAGTACTTTTAAAATTCTCCATCCCACTGTTCCTCCTAAATCAACAGGTTTTCAGACACCATTAATTAAAAAATGGCAAGTCCATTTTCACTCTCAGAACAGCTTGTACACATTAAGCAATGTATCACAGCAATAAAGTGAAGTCACCTCTAATCCTTAGTATTCTTTATACCAACCAAGTTCTGCCAATAACTTTAATTTGGGTTTCTGCTGTTAGCATCAGCAAGACAAATTCTTTTGGCAGTCAAACCCCTTAAGTGCAAAAACTTGAATTTATACATCCAGAAGCAACTCCTACACCCTGATCTGAGGATTTGTCTTTACCTTGGTTGGCATCCGAACTGGTCCTTTCACCTTGAGATTCTTTTCCTTTGCACCTCTGATTAAGTCAGCACACACTACGAGCAAATCAAAGCATCTCTTAGTTCACACAAAACAAGTTAAAATCAACTTCAATTTCAACTTTAGCTGGCTCAGAATAGCGTATAAAATTATCACCATAATTCAACATAGTAGGTTATCTCCTCATCGCCAACTGTTAAATGGGTCTTGTGAAAAGCAGCAAAAAGAAACTTTAGACCATTCTTTTAAGCTCTGCATCTTACGAAGTCTGAGTCGACCTCGGACGTTAAGTCAAATTTTTGACTTTCTGTCCAAAGGCCTCACACCAAAACCCACAGTACTGACCTTTCTCCAGGGACTTTACGTTGCGGCTGGTTAAAGTAATTCTAATTCGGTGAATGGCCACCTCTGGCTCCACAGGTGTTTTTCCAGTATCTTTAAAAGCCTGATTTACACAGACGAGAAAAGTAAAGCTAAAGTCAGCTATCACAGGTAGAGGAAAGACTTCACTAGTAAGTCCCTTGGGTGCCTCCCCCATTTTCGAGCTTACTGAGAGAGCGGGTCTCCCCCATACCGCCTGCCCTCACCCCGGCATCCGCCCCAGAGGACTGCGAGCCCCGGCCCCGATGGCGCCACGGCGCCTTCCCTTTACCATGGCTGCGGCGCGGCTTCCTGACCGACTTGTTCCTCGGCGAGAGCGAACAGCGGTGAGTCAGGAGCAGAGCGGGCCGCCGAAGATCCCCGCCACCTGCGTCCGCCTCTTC